CTCCACCCACAATCTTAAGCCAACCTAAGAACACTGTTCTGTATTAACTGGGTCCTCTTGGGTGAGGGAGGCAGTTATAATTAGGATAACTGAGAAGCACCAACACTAACTTACTAGTAATCCCAAGTGAAATCAGAGTTTTGTTGATTCCTATGAAAACTACCCAAAATTACCACCAAGCAAGCACATCCAGTCCTACATGGGGTACAGTAAGAGGTGTTTTGGTTTAGATATTGACAGATGTTGGTGAGGAGCTTTGACCTAAATGACAGGATGCTCTAAACCAGGCTTATGGGAGTCTGGGCAGAATTTCAAAGGGGCAGAACAAGGCAAGACTTGTATATTTCCTGTTTTCCTTAGCCTGGTTTCTTACCAGTCCTCACTAATGCCAATTAACTCTACTTAACACAAGGAGACCCAATAATTTGTATAGATTCTACTGCCCATACTCAGGGCATAGCCATAAGCAAAAATGTGAAGTAGTGAGGCAGCTAGGTTGTGCAGTGGATAGAGCACCAGTCCTGGAGTCAGGAGGACCTGAGTTCAAATCCGCCTCAGACACTTGACACTTACTGGCTGTGTGACCCTGGGCAAGTCACTCCCATTGCCTAGTCAAAAAAAAAAAGTAAAAAAAAATGTGAAGTAGAAAAAGTCCACCTTTGGCGTCCTTCTACTTTCTGATTTCTTGAGCTTTCTTTCCTTCAAGCTCTTATACCATGATCCAATTCCCAGAGAAAATTGTTTTTATTAACTAATGCCCTATAAAAATAAACAATTGTGAAAGATTTAAGAACACAATGATCAATCACGATTTCAGAGGACTGATGGTAAAGAATGCTACCTTCCTCATAACAGAGTGGAGATCAACAACTATGCAGAATGAGATACACATTTTTGGACATGGGCAATATGGGAATTTGTTTTGTTCTATTATGGTTATTCGTTAAAAACAAAGATTTTGTTTTTCTTTCTTTTTCAAAGAGGGGGAGGTGGAAAGAAAAATAAATGCTTGATAACTTAAACAATATTTAATTTTTAAAACAATGGCTGATAATAAAATGGCTTAAGGTATTGCCCCTCCAAGAATATTTATTTCTTAGGGGGAAAAGCCTTGAATAACCAAAGGAATACAGGCAGCTAGGTGGCACAGTGATAGAGTGCCAGGCCTGGAGTCAGGAAGACTCAACTTCCTGAGTCCAAATCTAGCTTCAGCACTTACTAGCTGTGTGACCCTGGGCAAGTCACTTAATCCTGTTTCCCTTATTTTCTTCATCTGTAAAATGAGCTGGAGAAGGAAAGGCAAAACATTCCAGTATCTTTGCCAAGAAAACCCCAAATGGAGTCACAAGGAGTCAGACACAACTGGACAACCACAAATCCAATGGTATAGTTTCTGGCACCATTGAGAGGTGGTAAGAGAAATACCTGGGGGGAATAGAAGCCTGTATATCAAAGCACACTATGCAATAAGAATAATAATTCACATTTATATAGTATTTTACAATTTGTAAAAATGTTTTCTCCGCTATGACCCCATGATGCTTACAGTCTCCTTTTTCTGGATGAGGAGACTGAGAAACTAACCTAAGAGATTTTAAATAATCTTCCTAGGGTCACACAGCTAATATGGGATCAAGGTAGAACTCAGACATTCCACTTTGGATCTTCAGCTCTGCTAGGTTTTAACTCCACAGAACAAGGTGCCCCTCCAGGGTTAAGCATATCACTTAAACTGGGATTCAACCTCCCTCAGCCTTCTCTCCCCTGTAATTGAAGGCTGGAGTACCAAACTCCTCCCCAAAACTTCCCATAAACTGGACTCTCAGTTCACTCCACTTCACACCTATCTGCAGCTGGGTCTGGTTTCAACTCCATGGAACAAGATACCAACTCCCTCACCCCCCAAACACACACACCCCTTTTCCAACCTCCTTTTGTGTATTGTCTTCCCTCATTAGATTGTAAGCTCCTTGAGGGTAGGGACTGTCTTTTTTTTTTTATTTGTATCCCCAGTGCTTAGTACAGTGCCTGTCACATAATAAGCCCTTAATAAATGTTTGTTGAATTATTAACTTCTGTCTCCAAGTCTGGAATTTTTTCTACTACATCATTGTCAGTCTTGCTTCTATCATTCACTGGGTACCTTTGTTGTACTGTGATGGTCAGGTCTAATAACCATCAACAGGAAGGACTGAGTTAGTGCTTCATGCTTCACAATACTAAGAAACCTATGGCTACAACTAACGCATAAAAAAATACTGTGCACATATTCTAATACTTGCTCAAAAAGCAACTTAACTCCCTAGCTGAATCAATGTAATATTTTACCAATCCCTTTTACCAGTTTTTCTGCATAGGGAAAGCATGTTTAAATGTACACATTCTTGCTATTGTTTCCCAAAAGAACGGGGATGACTAGAAGGCCAGCCTTGGAGAGGGGGGGTGTGTGTGTGTGTGTGTGTGTGTGTGTGTGTGTGTGTGGTGCGCATGAGCTAGAGAGAGAGAGAAGTGGTAGAATTCAGAATACTAACTGAAGCTGCTACATGTTGATATCTTGGGTTTCAAAGAAAATAAACAGGGCAGGGATGTTTGTTTGAACAACCTACAGGATTAAGCAAGGAAAAGAAACAGGAAACAGTGATACATAAATGAATCAAATCATTTGGGCATATAAGTAACTGACCAGAACACTTGAAATTACAAATGAAAAGAATAATATAGCTTTAAACATTTGCTGTAAGGATAGAAACCAGAATTCACCAGTGTCATCAACAAAATCCCTCATAGTCTTTCCTTTATCCCACCCCAAATTTCTATCTCCAATTTAGTGAGGCATCAAAAAGTGTCTTTTCTATTGCTGGTTGGCAAAAACCCCTTCGTATGTCTTTATATTCTAATATTTTAGCATTTTGAAAGTATGTAATGTCACTTTTGATCATAACATGAATACAAATGGCAATGCCCCTCTCTTTCCTAGCTGTTCACCGATCACATAGAATTGAAGAGCCTAAGCAGGCCCAAGGCCACACATTAAACAATACTGGCTTACTCTTTAGGTACATCTTCTAAAAATAAGTCTGCACAGAGTAGTTTCAAAGAGGGAAAGAATTATTTCAACAGAAGCACATACATTATGAAGAAAGAGAATAAAGCCAAGAGAATTATCTAATTCTATCTGGCTTCAAACAGGAAGGGAGTAAGGAGCTAAGAAGAGCCAAAAGGACACTCAAATCCTCTTGTTTTTATAATGTGATGTTTGGATTTTGGAATAAAATATAACAAGATAGTGGAAACAGCACTGCATTTTGAATGAGTAGGTCTGGGTTTTAGTCTCTTAACTATCCCTGGTAACTCAGGCCAATAATTTCACTCTCTAAGCCTCAGTTTTCTTATCTGTAGAATGAAAGGGTTGGGCTAGTAAGATCTCTAACAGATGTAAAATTTATGATCGTAGATAAGATTGTTTTTTTTTAAATTCCCGCCCACCCCCCAACAGTGGAAATACATTTGCAATACATTAAGCTAAAGGGAGCAATCACATTTATTTATTCAAGCCTGGAAGAAGAGTGATAGCCAGCCATACAAATGGAGAAATGGTAGAGAATATTTGCTGATCCAGGTAGAGGTGCCAGCAGCTTCCAAATACCATTCTTAATGACTCACTCATGAGTCCATCCCACACTGCCAGCTCCCTTCTGTAGGGGCACCAAGAGAGTATGTTCTCTCGATGGGAAGCTGGCTTTCAGCAGCTGCAGGAGATACGCAAATACCCTTTTCTCATCCCAGTGCCCCCCTTAGGTGTTAGACACTCAGACAAGCAGATCCACTGGTAACTCTAGCCCCAAAAGACAACCAGATGATTTGGAAGGAAGCTACAGTTTAGATGTGGCAAATAAATATGTATTTCCTTCTCCTTATTCTTGGCAAGCAGAAGGTATAAGTAAGCATTATGGACAGAGAGGGAATGTTGAAGAGAAAACCACCAGAAACAAGATTATGAGGTTTCAGCAAAAGGAAGGTTTGAGTCCTCATTACCAGAGCCAATGTCGATCGGGTGACAAGTAGGCAGTGGGACTGAAAGCAGCTGCTGGTGTCTGCATCGCTAAAGGGAGAGACAGACGCTGAGGTGCTCCAGGACAAAGCACTAGAGAATAATAGGCAGAGGAGACAAGGAGAGGGAAATCTGTCTAGTCGGTCACCTGCTCTGCCCAGCAATCTCTGAACAGTCCCTATACCACCACCGTCCTAGATGGAAGTCCAATGCGTACCTGGTCTCTCTGTCTCTCTGTCTCTGTCTCTCTCTGTCTCTCTCTCTCTCTGTCTGTCTGTCTGTCTCTCTCTCTCTCTCTCTCTCTCTCTCTCTCTCTCTCTCTCTCTCTCTCTCTCACACACACACACACACACACACACACACACACACACACACTTCAAGGGAGGAAATTTTCAACACTGCCAGATCTCCCTTTGGGGAGTTCACACTTGCAAACGTGCCTCCCAGCTTTCTCTACAACCTACCCCCGCATGAATTATTCACCCCAGAGCAGCCCTACCATCCGTCTAAGCTGGCCGTAGCAGTTACCCTAGGCAGGCGTCTGGAAAAGTTGGTGAGGGTTCTTGGGGGTATCTTGCTTCCTAACCCCCATTCCTAACACTTTTTTTTCTTCCCACTATCCCTCCGCCCCCCTAGGAGTTACACACTTAGATGAACCAGATTCATAGTAAGCTCCAGCCCGAACAGAAGCACCCAGACTGGTTGGAGGAAAGCTGACGCTAGGATAGTGGGCAGAGGAAGGAGCAGGAGCAAAGCTCGCTTCCTCGGGTCCGTGGAAGGAAGAGCCAGGGGTGAAGGGAACCGCAATGGCACTAGGACCTAGCAGATGTCCCTTCTCTCTCCCCTAGCTCCACCTGCCTTCCCCTCAGGTCTCTAGAGACACACTTCTTAGATTTGCAAGGAGCGGGCGAAGGGGTGGCGGGATCTGGGAAGGCAGGGCTGGGGTTACCTCGATTACTGCCAGCAGGGTCCACGGACGCCGGCAGGGAAATCACACAGCGGCAGCTGCGGTGGCGGTGGCGATGCAGGCGACAGGCGCCCGACGGAAGAATCGTGGAGAGTGAGAGCTCCGGCTACGCTCTGAGCCCACGGCTTCAGGAGCTCCCTACCCTAGCTTCGCTCCCGCCGCTCCTGATTGGCCAGGGGAGACGCAGGAGGAGCGACCTAATTGGGCAGTGCGGGAAGCCAAGCAGGAGGAGTGGGGATGCGGGGCAGGGCAGACACTCGGGGTTTCTCCGTGTTCCCAAGTCTTCCTCCTCAGGTCGTTCAGAGTCTGAAATCCATAGTTGCGCAACTCTCCAGGTCGTGACTCAGGCCAGAACTGAGGGACTCCTGGGCGGTGAAGTCTGTGTGTGCTTGGTGGGGATGGTGGGGACTGGGGGCGGGGAATAAGATCACGTCTTCGCAGTTCCCACCCACGCTGTCCCAGAGTGCCAGCTTGTAAAACACTGAGGATGCTGAGTACTCTCTACCCCACGTGGTTCCAGGCATTGGAATGACCACAGCTCCAATTAAGCTTTCCACCTCACTATTATATACTTGTACAGTGGTTTCTACTACAGTAGAAGATGCAGCATTAGAACAAGAGGCAGACGGGCTAATCTGTTTCTACACACACACACACACACACACACACACACACACACACACACACACACACACACGGTGTATAAGGCACTATGCTAGATCCTGTGGGCCCTAACCCTTCCTATGAATCTGTTTAAGACATAGTCCTGCTGACACAGAGCCTAGCATCTTGAGATAGGGAGTTTGGTTATAGCTAGATCAGATATTTGCTCAATACACTGAAGTTTAGAAGGTAGTGACAGCACTATACCATTAAGACTAGGATCTAATTAGCCATAATATTTAGTTAAAATAGGAAGCTACCATATGAGAGCTTCCTCTAGGCAACTCTCTCTGTTCCTTGCCTACCTGGTCCAATCTTGCCTCCTCTCCCAGAAGTCTCTGGTAGTGTCTCAGAGTCTCTGCTGTGCAGTGTCCAAGAGTTTGTACAGGCCTTGTGTTTCCCAGTTTCAAGCCTTCAACAAAAAACTGACATGAGGGTGTCATTTGTATTGCTTCCCCAAAGTGTGTTTCGTGGTGTTTGCCTATGTCTTAGAATTTCTAGTTGTAGCTCTAATAATAAATACAATTTTCACATGAAAAGTGAAATTGAAAACAAGGCAGGCGAAAATTTGACTGTTGTTCTTCTTGCCTGAATTCTAGGCACAGAGACTCCAAAACAGTGGGCACAAAACAGTGAAATCTCAATACAACAAAGCATATTTCCACCTCAAGTCTCTCCCATCTCTAATATAACCTCCACATAATTGTCATATTGCTATCCCTGAAACACAAATATGACTTTGCAATGCCCAGGCTCAATGAGCCCCAATGGCTCCCTTTGGCCTCTAAGACAAAATAAAACTCCACTAGTATTTGAAGCCCTTTCAGACTCTGGCTCCAGACATCTTAGAGGCAGCTATTTGGAAGCAGTAGGATAAAGGAAAAACAGCCAAAACGTTGGAGTCAGGGAACCACCTCTGACACTTCCTGTGTAGGCAAGATACTTAATCTCTCTTAGTTTAAGTATTGTCCTAAATAAAATAAGAGTTGGGGAGATAGCCTTTCAAGTTCTTTCCAGATCTATAAATTTTTTTAGGTATGTTACATATCATATTCCTTCATGTGTACTGGCCTACTTGCCATACAAAATATCCTCTCTCTCTCTCTCTGAGCCTTGGCAGACTGTCTCTCATGCCTGGAATGCACTTTCTCTTCCCCTCTGCCTCTTAGAATCCTCAAGTTTCCTTTAAAGTTCAGCCCAAGGTCTGTCACCTACAGAACCTTGATTCATCCACTCAGCTGTCTCCCTGACAAAATTATCTTGTATTTATTTATTTGATAAAAATTTTATATATCTTTTTTATATGTATAAGATTTTGCTCCTGATAAAATGTCTTAGGGCAAGGACTATTTCACTTTTTTTCCCCTTTGATATCCAACTATTAGCATGGGGCCTGACATAGTAAGTGCTTAATTAATATGTATTAATTAATACAATGTATTCCTTCTGTTGCTGAACCTCAGCTCTCCTGACTCCTATTTAGGCTAAGCTCTTGTTTTAAAAAATTTATAAATCTGTTTTCTTCTTCAGGTCTTATTATGCTGATTCCATCAGTTCATTGCACCTATGTCTCTCCCTTGGCACCCAGATAGACAATTTTACAACCAAGTAAGCCAACAGTTTGGGCTTCTCTGGGTTATCTCTCCTCCTTGACACCGCTATCCCCCTTCCCCCCTACACCCCCTCCCCAACTTACACTGGCAGGTTGACAACTACCCCATGTTCAAGGTATTCTGTGGGTCTTCAAGATTCATAAAACTATAGCCCACAAGCCAACCCCTATGTGTTTTCTTTCAGAAGTGATCCAGAGGTCATAACTAGTTCAAAACAAAGACATTTACCAAAATAGTAACAAGACATTTTCCCCCTTAAACCTATGAAACCTATGTTACCACAAATATGCAGTGTCATAGAAAACAATGAACACTCATAAAGTTCATAAGTAGAAGGGCATAAATACAAGTAATACCATTAAGACTGTGAGCTCCCTGAGAGCAGGAACTTTTTTTTGCCTTTCTTTTATTCCCAGAGCTTAGCACAGTGCCTGGTGTATAGCAGGCACTTAATAGACACATAGATTTGACATGGTCAAGTCACACCTGCTGTAAACCAGAACCTATATCCTAGAACTAGCTTAATAGATGTGAAGTTCATGCTTCACCACTCAACCATCCAGTTCATCTTGCCATCTGCCCAGTCACTGACCAAAATACCTTTGATCTCCAATTTTCTACCTCATGCTTTGGGCACAGGCATCAAATCAAGGACGTGTCAATTGACTATCCTGTAGATTTAGTCACTGTCCCTGTGACTTCCCAGACAAAAATTCCCTTCCTTCCTCTAAGTGTGCAATCTACACACACACACACACACACACACACACACACACAAAGCTCCCTGAGGGCAGAGACTGTTGCAGTTTTTGCATTTGTATCCTTAGCACTTAGCTTGGTATACTTAATTGCTTTATCATTTATTCCTAAGATTTTAAATGTTCTTAAATTTAGACACATTTATATTTTTGAAAGCCATTATATTAGCATTTTAACACTATTTTTCCCATCTAATAAATTCTCAGATTTGACAGGATAGCCTTTGAGCCCATAATTTACCTTGTCAGGGAAGTAGTTAAAGAGCTTTTTGAAAAACTGCCCTGCTCCACTTTGAAGAAATTCAGATGGGATAACATTCCATTATTCTCGGGTTTACTGAAGGGTAAGGCATAAGGTCACTTACTTTGAGGAGCCTCTGTGCCCAGAACTCAGGCAGCAAGAACAGCCAAGTTTTCTCCTGCCCATATTAATTGGCAAACAGCTGATTTCCCATTGGAAGAAGTGACAGACTGGTTATAGGCAAACCCCTTGCCTCTCTCGAAAGGTAATTTAGGCAGGAAGTGGGTTGGGAACTTTCAATAAAAGGTGGGAAGTGGGTTTAGGCATCAATCTAATTTGCTGCAGATCTTTCCCTGTTCCTAACCTGGGCCAGGAATTTGATTTGAGTTCGCATGATCACCAGGTGTTTGAATGGCTGATCCAGTACAGCCAAAGCTAAGAATTCTCTTACCTGGGGGCGAAATTCAATGTGTGGATGGGGGCGAAATTCAATGTGTGGATGGGGGCAGGGAGCCTTAATCACTCAATGGGTGTTGCCTCCGTCAAAATGAGACCTGTTAAGGACCTTAGCTTAAAAAGGCTGAGGTCTCCCACTGCATCCAGTCTTACTGGTTTATATTTTGCTGCTGGACTCAGATGTCTCTGGAAGAGAAATCGAGGCTAGCAACTTTGCACGGCCCTCCTTCACTTAAATCCAAGGGGCAAGATAGATTGCAAACAGAAGTCATAGGAATTAAGGAAGCTGGGAAACTGGGAGCTTAAGGAATTTTGAAAAGGTTAAGGAGGACAGATGGTTTGTTGAATGGAGGTGATAGATGAAGGGTCTAAAAGTGGTAGTAATAAACAAGGAGACTGCCCACAACTCCTGGCCAGGATGTCAGAGGTCTGTATGAAAGAAGGTAGTTTTGTATCCTGGAATCAAAGGACTTTCATTCAAACCCTGTCTCTAATGCTTGCTACCAGTATGACTTTGGATAAGTCACTTAAACCCAATGGGCCTCAGTCTCCTCTGTCTGTTAAATGAGGAGGTTGGGCTACATTTTCTTTCTTTACACTTTCTTTCATCTTTATAAGGAACAGTCAACTTAGGAGAGAGTGCCAAGAGATGTGGCATCTTTAAGAGGAAACAAAGTTTGCCATATGTCAGAAATCCCATACTGGACTAGACCAGTTATTTAATCTGTTAATCTTTCTCTGGTAGTGTCACCAAAAGTTGTTTTGTTGGACATCCTGCGAATTGCCTTCCATTTGTCAGGGATCTACTGTATGGAGAGAAATGTACAAGGCCCTGGGAAAGATAAAAGGCTTAGATACATCCCAAGTTCCTTCTCTATTAGAACTTACAGTCTGATCCATACGACCCATGCAAGCATAGCTGTAATACAAAACACTGCATAATAAGTCTATACAAGGGATGTGAGCAAAATACTATGTGATATCTGAATGAGGGCAAATGGTTAGATAAGCCTTCGTGAAGGAAGAGGCATTTTAGTTGTCCATTATTATTCTACCCTGATATGATATTGTCCCAACAACAAATACATTTTCTCCTTGATCTCCTCCACCTTCTTTTCTGCTGCTTTTCCCCAAGTTGCATTTTTCCTTTCAGTTTCAAGTTTATGTTTAAGGAAAGAAACAGTTCCCCTTTAAAGTTTCAAGCTGTTAATTTTCTTTCCTGGCTGTCATTGCTTTCCCACTTTTCCCCCTTGCATTCTCATTTCTTTTCCATTTTTTTCTCTAGCTTTCTCATATCATTTATAAAACCATTTTTAACTTTTAAAAAATTCTTGCTTCATATAATCCCAGAAATTCTAGTTGAATTTGTGCCCAGACTGTGTTTTAATTTGTGTATTGGCTTGTAGATGTTTTGGAGTCATTCTCTTTTTTCTGGGTTTGTTGAGCGTGCATCCCTGTCATCATCATAGCTCTTTTTGATGGAATTCTTTTTTTGTTTGTTTATTCTTCCTTGCCTTGCTTTCTGACTTCTGACTGTTGGAACCAGGCTGTGTGTACATTTGGAGAGAATGTTTGGGCCACAGTTGGTCCTGTTATGTGTCCTCTTAGGTCGTGCTGCTGCTTTCTT